GAATTCAGAAGTTATTAGATCAACAATTTCTGGTTTAGGGCAATCAAGGTTGTTGATATAATTGTTTATAACCATACACATATTTTTTACTTTGTTCAATATTTCTTGTTCACTTAATCCATTTATGTTCCACTCATAAAGTTTGTTGAATTGTACTGAAAACTGATTATTGATATTTCTTTCTTCATACTCAATATCAAGAGGTGTTGATCTTGTATACAAATTTTTGGTAATGCTAGTAAGATTAACTTTTGAAAATGTTAATTTGTTAAAATTTTGATTATCAAACTATTCTTATAATTCTCTGATTTCGGAATTAGTGGAACCTTCTAATTTACTAGTTTCTTGGGATTTACTGTCTTCAGAACTTTCATCATTCTAATAGATAGTGGTAACTTGGGGTAATACTAGTTCGACTTTTGGTTGATATAGTTTTTGGATAACTTCTTCAATTTTTTGAAGTCTCTTGCTATCTTTAATTGAGATATCAAGTTTACTTCTATCTTCTGGTAATTGCATTAGAGGTTTTTCTAATTTTTTATTTGGTGATGATTTCATATCATCAATCTTGGTTTCAATTTTGCCTAACTGTTTACCAATTATTTTTAAGCATTTTGTTGGTAAAGTTGTTTTGCTCAATTATTCTTTTTTCAGGTTCAGTTCCTAAAGGTAATTTGAATGGTGAGACTTTTACTTCGGAATCCTTGTAACTAATCACTACAGTTTCTGTTGGAGAGTGAATTGAAGACACTGTGGAATCATCTTCTTTCTTTCATTTATTTTTTTGTTACTACTTTTACTGATTTGTAATAGTTTTCTAAGTAGTCAAAAAAATAAATTTCACATCTTATCTCATTCATAAACTTGGTCCATTTTTTAATTATTTTTTCTTGCTTAGGGTTATTGTATTTACTCATGAATTCTCGTCTTTAAATTTATTTTCCTTGGTCTTGAATTCTTCATGTAAGCTTTCCACATTAATTATGAACGGTTTGTTTGTTCTACTAATTATTAACAACTATTTTTTTTTCCTATGTTACTCTCCATGTCAATCATAGAAGAAGAAGGTGAGGAGTTTTCGTCTCCTTCTTCTTGCAATTGTGAATGAGTGGTGTAACATAATTACTAATTTGTGAAGAGGTTTCAATACCTTTTAATTTTAACTTTTAATTTTACTCTTTTGCTAAGTCTTCATCTATTTTAGACACACTAGAATTTGCAGACTCATATTTTCTTCCTTCATTAATTTGAAGTGGTTTACTTGACTTTTTACCATCAAAGAAGATTCTTACTGATCCATCAAAATACTGTTGGATACAATCTAAGTTAACTATAGTATTTTGATGATTTTGGTGGTAACTTTCATTTTCAAGCATTCAATAGTCTAGAAGATTTAGATCTTTCATTGGAGTTGCTTGGGAACTTGGATATTTACTTCACTTGTACTACTTTGTATTAATAAAGTTTTGTCCTTAGGACTTTTACTTGATGCTTGAACATTTAAATTTGTTGTTATGCATTTGTAATAGATTTGGTAAATCAATACCATTACCTTCTGACATATTTGTGTACTCTCCTAAAGTTTTTATGTTCAGGGTTAATGCCGTTAACAAATTAATGTCACTCAGACTTATAATGAAGTTTGAAAAATAAGTAAAGTATAATTGGCCATTGTGCAGGCTTGACTCCATTATTCCTAAGATACTTGTGTCATAATTTTTAAACCTAACATCTCTTAGGCATAACAAAATTGAGGAGTTGATTCCTCAAGTTGATAATGGTTTTACTGCAACTTGAACCAAGCAAATGTGGATAAAATTATATCCTTTTGACCTATATTTTTTGATTGATTCGTTACTAAGCATTTGACAAGTTTCATGCTCTTTTGTAAGGGCATAAACTTATTCAATGGTCTTTACTTGTAATTCTGACTTCAATGATGTTGGTAGCCAACTTGTTCTGTATATTTCTTTTACTGGTATCTTAAGTATATTCCAGTTTTTCCTATCTATTTTTTACTAATGAAATTCATGTTCTTCTCTATTGAATGTATAGAAGGAACAAAAGTTCTAGAGCTAGCTGAGAAATTAAATCTGAATAACCTACTCATTTTTAAATAAATTTTTGATTTAACTAACCAATCTACTTGCTCAATTTGTTCTCCCTATCTTGAAAATACCCTTCTCTACACATACTCTGTCTCCATGATTCCATGTTTGTCTCTCTCTGCCTCTCACTAGGACTTATGCTCAGATTGGGTTAGGAATACTACGTTCAAGAGTGGTCTCTTTGAGTTAGGTTCCAAAGGATAATAGAACTTGACAAGAAATTGACTAGAATAAATCGCAAGAGCTTTTTAAATGAATAAAGTTAACAAGATTTAACTCAACAGATAACTACGATACTATCAAATGGCTTTGATACCAGCAAGAGGGTAGAAGGCACAACATTATAAAACATCTGTAATTTAAAGTAAAAAATAAAATACAATAAACTAGAAATTAACTTACAAATAGATAACTGTGGAGTGTCTTCTTGTATTAATAGAAAATTAAGATACAATAAGAGAACTAAGATATATGAAGAGAGAATCTTGACAAACAATGTCTGCTTGCTAATATAGCTGAGTGGGGGATGAGTTTCAGTTTATCCCCACCTTCATCCTGATACGTTCACCGTCTAATACGTATGATTCATTTCTAGTCTAAATAGAACATGATTGCACTCTTTTTGCTTTTCTTTTTTTTATAGTTTACTGTCATCCCTAGTGAACAATATCTAGTGATAAAAAAATCACATTTAGGTGCACCCTTTTTACGGGAAGTAATGGTGTTCGATCCTATCAGACATAGCAATTTCAATGCTTGTTTTATTTTTTAAAAATGTGTTTAAATTCCAACAAAAAAAAAATGCCACCCGTAATAAAGCAATGCCCGGATAGGTGATTGATCCTTTGCTCACGTCTGACCAGCTTGGTTGAAAGTGAAGTGCAGTGGAATGGAAGTTTCATTCATCTTAATGGCAGTGCCTTGGCCGTCCTTCTTCTAATGGAATGGAGCGGCATATAATCAAGAAACTCGTGTTCGCATTTCGATGAGTAACCTAAGTTTAAATCTCATTTCACAAATGACAACATCAATGAATGGTTCACATAAAAAAGGACAAAAGGTGAAAATTTTGCATGTGTTTTTGCTAGTATTTTGTGTATTAATATATATATTATTTTTAGTTATTTTAATTTAATTTTTTATTTATTTAAAAATTATTTTTCTTATTTTTTGAGAAACAAAAATATTGATCAAGTTTTTATGTTCAAGTTTTGTCAATAAATTTTTCTCAATAGATAATATAGTTAATTCATTCAATCCTTGTTAGGACATAATTGACCGTAAATAAAATTTTATTAAATTAATTTTTGAAAAGTTCTTTTTTGTTGTTACTGGTGTTGTTAACAAAATCTATAAGAATTCAGAAAAGAATCTAATCTTTTTATATAGTTTAGTATTTTAATTGAAGTGTTGGTTTCAATTTTTAAAATTTTTAATTTTAAAAGTAAATCTAAGCCATGAATATCAATAGATATACCAAGTTTTACAAAATTTTCAAGTTTAAAACAATGTTCTTACAAATTATCTTCATCCAAAGGTTTAAATTTTTCAAAACTAAATAGAAATACTCAAAAATATTTATACTAGGGTTCTTTTTTATTATATTTACTGGGCCTAATCAGATAGAGAATATTTTTAGACTTAACAATGTTAGACATTAATTTGAGCTCTTAAAATTTGGAGAACTAAAAATTTGGGTCTTATTTAAAACTCAAAAATAAAAAAAAATATACCTGAGGACTAATTTTTTTAGGGACCCTCTTGAACTGGAGGCCCACCCACCTTAATGGCCTGTGCTTAGGGCCGCCGGCCTTGTTCTAGCAATGACTCAAATGGCATGATTTGGAATTCTACCAAATTAACCAACCACCAAAATTTGTAAATATATAATCAAGAACCAATATTATACTACTTATCAAAAAAGTTAATAATTTCTTTTGTTAGATCCATACAAATGATCAATTTTAGAATAAGATTTCATTAGCATGCACTAATCATTTAGTAACTGTAATTTAGTAAAAGATTTGGTACATACGACATTATTTCCTTCAAAATAACTTGACATTTTGGCTTATAATTGCTTGCCTTCAAACGTCTAATAGTCAACTGACAACCAAACATGTTGTTGAAGTTGGACAAATACGAATACATTTGAATAAGAGCAATGAATATGATGGGAGTAAGTAGCCACCCATGTAGAAAATTATACTCACCTTCCTAAGATTTATTGGAATTATAAATGATACCTTTTTTATTTGTGAAATCAAACTGGTTATCTCTTACCAAAAAATACTAGAAATGAATGTCAACAACATGGCCTTGAGGATCCGTCAAAGTGGCAACGCTCTTCGGATCTACACTTGTTGGTGTTGGTATTGCCTCTTCCATCTTCCAATGTAATAATGAGACCGAAAAAAAAAAATGTTAAGTCCTCACAAACCCAACCACCCAATTTTCTCTTAAACACACATTTTTCAAACTCCAGGTCCAACTTACAAACAAAGAAACTCGCAATCCCCTCTCTTTACTCCTAAACCGAAATTAAGCTTGACAATTTTAAACTTGACTTTTAAAATTGACACAAGACTAGTATACCTTCCTCCCTAGTCCCTATCCAAAACTTTACAATCCAATAGCACTGCTTTCATAGACTATGAGGGTATTTTTGAAATTTCAACAAACTATGAAGGGTGTAAGTATAACTCCATAAAAATAAAGTGACTACAAAGAATTTACCAAAAAGAAAAGGAAAAAGAAAGAAAAAGACTAACCCCTAGCTCTCTAAGACTTTTTGAGCTACAGGCAATAAGAAATTGCCACGTCACAGACATCCTTCAAAGAGAGAGAGAGAGAGATACGTTTTCCAAATTCCCACGTTTCGCAGCATCATGACTGAGTCCTAGCACACCTCATGACTTTGTCGGAGAAGAAAACGTAATCATATACACACCTTTTTCAATATCCATTCATCTTCGTTTCTTGATCACCGTTCCTCAACTGTAAATTTCATCAAATTTGACCGCCGGTGACCGTTTTATCCTCGTCGGTGGTCGCCGGAATCTGTCGCTTACTTAAGCACGCACCTTCCGGCAAAGTCAAACCCGTAAAAAGCCGCCTTTCTTGGCTTTTCAATCCATTGACCTAGATATTATTACTGGTCGTATTACGGCTAGAGAGAGAGAGAGACAGGTAGTTTGACAGAGAGAGAGAGAGAGATGTATGCGGTACCTCCGCCGAAGAGTTCTGGTTCGACCGGTGGTGCCGCCGATGGCACGGAGTTGCTACGGACTTATCAGACCTGGAAAGGCAGCAATGTATGTTCAACTCTCTCTGCATGTCTACTTGGAAGAAAATTAATTTCAGTTTCCTGTTGATTGGGGTTTAGGGGTGAATATACATGGTTAATCGATGTTGTTGATGGAAAATTTAGGGTTTTATGATATAATTTATGAAGGAAAATTCTAATTTGGTTTCCGCTTTTGAGGTTTTGTCTTGTGTTGCAGAATGAGATGGTAATGGTACCATCCTTGTACCGTTATTAATTTTGTTTGAATCTTGTTTAATTGGATTTGTTTTGAGCTGCCAAATTTGGGGTTTTGTGTTTGACAAGCAAGTAAAAGATTTTGATTCTTATGGTTGGCTGTATACATCACAAAGAGTGTGTTAACTTGAACTTTCTGGATTAGCTGACAGCGGAGATAGAAACTGTCATACGTGTAGGTGATGGACTAATTTAGCTTTGCTTATAGAAATTACTCTATTGGTAAACCATCTTGCACTGCATTGAATGCAGATTAAGCAGCTATCAGTTTGATTTGCGAGCAGGGATGAAGCTAGGATTTTGATCGAGGGGACAAAAAAATTACTTATGGTTAATTTCTGATATTCGAGCTTATTAGTCTAAAAAGTAATTAATCTCATAAGCTTATTTCAGAAGGTAGCTGTTGTTTGGTAACTTTGGTTACTATTTTGCATCACCGCATTCATGTTCTTACCTGAGTCAACCGAAGCAATGTTCATATGCGTGTGTGTGTTCATGTCACTCAAAGCACTGTTTTTGGTTGGTGCAATCAAATGGTGCCTTATTTCATGGATAATTGTTATCTGGATGGAATTTTATGGACACCCCTAAAAAAACACGTGATGTGGGAGATTTCTGTACCTCATGGGAGCTGAAGTTTATGAGTAATCACTTTGGGTTGATACGTTCTTCAAGTATTTTATGGCTAACATTTCAAAGGCTTTTGTCCCTTATGGCCTCGCCATAAGTAGCATATCTTTTGTTTCTGTAAATATTTCCACTATCTAGTAATGGATTTTCTTAATTTGCAGATATTCTTTCTTCAAGGAAGGTTCATTTTTGGACCTGACGTCAGATCGCTCTTCTTAACAATATTCCTTATAGTTGCTCCTGTTGCTGTTTTCTGTGTCTTCATTGCTAGGAAACTGCTGGATGATTTTTCACATCATTTGGGGATATTAATAATGGTCATTGCTATTGTTTTCACTCTATATGTAAGTCCTCTATCTTGATACTTCTAATTTTCCTGTCTTCACGCCATCTATGATTCTTCGAGGATAGGTTTCATTTTTAATAGATTCTTGATCAATTTGAACGAATTTCAAAAAGTCTTTCTCATTATTAAGAATAGTGGAGCTTTATGAAGATGTTATCACCTCCCCTGTTTGGGCATTTAGCAATTTGAAAGTCAGTTAAGCATGGTAGTGTTTATTTCATTGCTTTGATAAGAGATGGTTGATTGAAATTTTTCTTTATCATGTAGTTTTGCTTTCCCTTTATTATTTTAAACTTGAGATGTGATTCAGGCCTCCAAATCAAACACTTGTGACGATGCTAATAACACCCTTTAAGGCCTTAGTTACTAGTTTTTGTGATTCTATGTATCAACTTCAATGGTGGTACGAACTGTATGGTATTGGGAAGTGCGAGAAACAACTGTGATTGTTGCTGCTGGAACTCACAACCTAATCTTTATTTACATTGTATCTGGAGATTCGGCCAGCTTGGAGACTCATGCATATTTGATTTTCCAGCTTTGAAAATTTATATGGCAGTATATTTTGCCCTATAGGACTCAAGCTGTGTATGTACTATAGAAAGGATACATTACCTGGAATAATCACGAGCCAAAGACATTTCCTTGAGTCTGCTCCTCCTACAGATTGTTAGCAATTTCTTCAATTCCAAAAATGGGTATATAATAATTACAACCAACTCCAACAATTGGTAAATGGTTTGCCTTGGCAAGTGTATTGTTTACTGGTGAGTACCTCTAACAGGGATCCCTGCTCTCATAAGAAGGGCCCTAGAGGGAAGAAAGAGAGATTCTAGTTGTTGGGTGTTGTGGAGCTGAACAGGAGATTCTAACGGTGAGGATTTTCCATATTCTCAAAGTTCCATTATGTACTTTCTAAAATATGCTAATACGGTCCATAATACTGCAAAGAGAAAATTGGTAAGATGATCTTCTATCTTGGGCTTTTCCTAAATCCTTTCGGATCAAAACAAATGTTGATTGCTGCTTTAAAGGGAACCCAGGCTTAGCAGGAGCTGGACCTATGCTGTGTGGTGATTGCATGGGATTGATTCGATGATTTTTCATGCAATAAGGGATAGTTATCTGATCAGGGGCTGAGTTATGGATGTCATTCTGAGATAAGAATGAAGAAGTAAAGGAAGAGAATAAAGGAGCAAAAGAGGATTGACCCAAATGCAAGGTTCGAGTGTCATTTGCCCCCTACCCTGTACATACTGTGACCAAAACAAAATAAAAAGGAAGAGGATTAAGAAGAAATTGGAGAGAAGAAACAACAGTCACTACTCAGTCAAGAAATGACTGCCAACTCCTGAAGTGTTTAATAATCAGCTGTGTAGAAGCTTCCTAAAAACTATAGCTTGCACTTGACCATGATGATCTTTAAGAGATGTTGTTTCGCTAGATTTACACTCCTATTTATGTGAAGCAACAATGATTTTTCAAATTGCACAATTTTTTCTTAGTACTTATGCAGATACTATGTGAGGCACTCTCAATATTTACTGGAATATGCCTCATCATTGAACATAAATGTCCAAATAGCTGTGAAAACACATTTCCAGTAATAAACCTTATATGCTTGGAGCGTGCAAAAAATAACCTTCGGAGTTTCATCAAAAATAGCCTTCCTGAAAGATATTTGAACGTCTGTTCTGTACTGCTGTTTGGGCTCTTAATAGCTATAATTGTAGCATATCAGCATTATATTACTGTCATGGATCAATCAACATGCCTCCTGCTCCCATGGCTGCCTACGGATCATGTTGGATATGTAACAATTATATCTGCAATGACACATTATACTTATAAAAAATGTATTGGCGTAAACTTTGTACCTCTAAAGTATATGTGTACGTTGCATCTGTAGTGACAATTGGTGATCAGATGGTATTGGTTGATATTATATGTTTCTTTCAAGGGATCCGGGAGCGGTGGGAGGGGATTTTAATGATCTTCTCATCATGCCTGTGGCCCACTAGTCAAGTTTTTGTTTGCATTGGCTTCTCTTTAAAATTATTGTAGCTGTGTGTGAGTAAAAACAATTAGAAACAGAAAGAAAGAACTTATGCTGATAGTTGATAGTTGATGGTGCTCTGACTGGCTTTATTCCCTTTAATTAGTGCATTGAGAAAGAGGGGATAGAGGCGTAAAATTGCAGGTCTTCTACACTTCTAATCTTTTACTCTAAGGTAAAAGTCCACCTTCCTCAAATAGCAAATAGTCGAAACCAAACCTTATCCCCTTTATTTTGGTTGGCTACGTGAATCCTTTTTCACCATGCTACTCTTTCACAGTTATATTTTTAATTTTAATCCAATCACAAACAAGCATATTCATTTTCACTACATCAGCCCATGTTTTTTATCAAATCACAAACAAGCACATCCATTTTCACTACATCAGCCCATGTTAGTTTTGGTCTTCCCCTTCTCCTGGCACTTACCCTTATGGTGATCATGTCACTCTTCCTTACTGGTGCATAAATTGGTCTTTGAACTAAGAGAAAAGAAATGCTGATAAAAAAGTTTATGCATTTGAGATAGCCGACGGTTGATAGTTTACGGTGTTTCCTTTTGTTTGATAAAGAGCAAGATGTAACATAATATTTCATATTTAGCCAATTGAGAGCTGAATTTGTGGATTTATCTGTTTTTCAAGGTGTTAGTCCTTCTTCTACTGACATCTGGAAGAGATCCTGGCATAATTCCTCGCAATGCACACCCTCCAGAGCCAGAAAGTTATGAGGGGAGTGCAGAAGTTGGGCCTGGCCAAACTCCACAATTGCGTTTGCCTCGCATCAAGGATGTCATTGTTAATGGAATTACTGTGAAGATCAAATACTGTGATACCTGCATGCTTTACAGACCTCCACGTTGTTCACACTGTTCGATATGCAATAATTGTGTGCAACGATTTGATCATCACTGTCCTTGGGTTGGACAATGTATTGGATTGGTAAGTGCAATTATTTTAAATTAAGATCACTTGTGCTTTAGATTCAACCCATAACCTTTCATTCTATCTGTTTTCGTTTTACTGTCCATTTCCTTTCTCAGACCTGTTGGAAGCTATGCTGTGAATGGTTGATTGATGTTTTAGCTTTTGATGATAACTATGTAATTGGTCCCAATGATCAAACAATGATTTACCTTCTGTATTGTGGAAAAAAAGCCTAAAACAGCAGTGTCTTGCGGAAGGCTGGAACCTTTTTTTAACCCTCCTTTTTTGGGTGGTGGGGGTAGACAGGTGGTGGTGTTCTTGTTGCTTATAAGATAGCTCGAGGGTAGCACCTGCTGCATATATATTTCACTCTGTGATTTGGATCCTGACATTGAAGTTCGAACAATTGCTTTCATGTTATTTTAAGGGCTCCTAAGTCTTCCATGTTTGGTTATAAACCCATATGTAACTTATTGGTTGCTATTTTAGTTATGAATAGATTATGAAAAGGCAATATTAACTCAGAATCAAAGTACATTGCAAACTGTTTTTATCCATATCTTTGACTTTTTGTCTTTTTATTGACAAATTTCATGCAATACACTCTCTCTTATATTAATGAACTCTATACAATAAATTCTGAACTGTTCTATAGTCGAACTATTGTAATAAAAACAATTCAAGTAGGTAAAAATAATTAATTATTAAGTTTAGCTTCCTAATTATGACTTTCTTGATCAATCGCTGCATGAAGCAGTCAGGGAGATGGTCCGATCAATTTGACCATCTGTTTTAGGAGCAGCAGCTGCTCTTTGATTTATGTACACAAGCTGATGAGGATGCTGAATTTATTCACACTTGTTTTGGCAAACAAAAAAATAAAATTGCTGATTTTATGCATATGATAGCTGATTTTGCCCAAAATTGTGGTGTGAAGATTCGTTTTACTTAACCCAGTATTTTCTTTGATTGTTCAGCTGTCACGTGTGGTTAGAATCTCAGGTTCCCGTGGCAATTTGCTTTATAGACAATCATGATTAATTTTAATTTTAATTGCCTGTTTCATTGTGGTGCAGAGGAACTACAGGTTCTTCTTCATGTTTGTCTTCTCAGCAACTCTTCTTTGTTTATATGTACATGGTTTTTGCTGGGTGTACATTAAAAGGATTATGGACGGTGAGAGAACATCAATCTGGAATGCAATGACCAAGACTCCTGCCTCCATCGTGCTGATAATTTATACTTTTATAGCAGTCTGGTTTGTTGGTGGTCTTGCTGTCTTTCATCTCTACCTCATTAGTACAAATCAGGTAAAATACCACTTTATAAGCCATTTTTTCCTCTGGTTTAGCATCCATCTTCTCTAAGTTCTTTTAGTGTAATGGTCCACATGAAATCCGGGGAAGATCTATTGTTTCAGTAGAAATACCTTTGATATGTTTATTAGTTTTTTGAACGCCTAAATCTCTAAATGTCATTGCTTCTCCTTCTGGACCATTATGTGCAATATTCCTAATGGTACGGATTCAATTTCTAGAACCATGTTACTCAAATTATATTTTGATTGCTTGCAAGATTTGAGATGTCTTTTATCGGTTTTGCAGTCTACTTACGAAAATTTTAGATATCGATATGATCGAAGGGCCAACCCATATAACAAAGGAGTATTTGGGAACTTTAAGGAGATGTTCTTCACCAGCATTCCAGAATCCAAGAACAAATTTAGGGCAAAGGTGCAGAAAGAGCCTGGAATTCCGCCCCGGGTTGTGAGTGGTGGTTTTGTTAGCCCAACCTTGGGGAAAGCCATGGGCGACAGAGAAATGGAAAGGAAGCTAGCCTGGAACGAGGCTGCAACCGGAGCAGGTGACTTTGAGAGACAGCTAAGAAATGATGATAGTCTTGACACTGATGGTGAGTTTACCGACGTGTCTCCAGATCTTAGCGGGGCCGTTCCTGTTGAGGGCACAGAAGAACGAAGTACCCTACATCCTAGACGCTCTAGTTGGGGAAGAAGAAGTGGAAGCTGGAATATACCCCCTGATGTTGTCGCATTGGCATCTGGAGTTGGTGACTCGAATCGGATCACTGGTGTCAACAGTGGCAGCTCAACAATAGAAAATCGACAATGACGGCCTAGTTGGATGCTGTAAAATTAACAGGGAGAAAGAATGGCAGCAAAAAGATGGAACGAGAGAGAGGGAGAGGGAAAAAAGGGCAAAAAAGATTTGGATAGTGTGAGGATTTGGAGTGGGCTTGAGTGGGGTTGTTTGGTGTGTATATCTTCTTTTTCTTTATTCTTCTTTTTTTTTGTTGGGAGGGGGGATGAGGTATCTGCACCATTTTATTTGTACAAGGATTTATGAGACTGAATGCCACAGTATCTTCTTAATTTTAATATTTAGTTTCTCCATTTTAACATCGATTTTTGTGCACTTCGAAAATGTGTTGTGAGCTTTGCATTGCTTTCATCTTTTTCTGTAGTTGATTGCGCTTCTGGGGCAACCCCTTGAAACCCGAACACCTCCGACCGTTGAACAAAAAAAAAATACAAAATTGCTCTTCTGGACCACCGCATATGGTTTCAAAGCTGAGCAGGTGAACTTACGTGACACAGCTCGTAGTCATAGACTACCTTGTAATGCACCAGCCCTTTCCGGGGAGAATATGTTCTTGTCTCACTGCCACAATGAACTTTTTCACTCTCTTCTTCCACACTTAACCTAATTATCGAATTATTCATTCAGACTTATTTTGCTTCTTTTGCTTCTGTATTATAATTTGAGGGTGAATTCATTCGTCATTGGTTTTGCTTCTTCCTCTCTGTTTTTGGTGTCTATATTCTACAATTAAAGAAATAATTTTAAAAAGATTCGTCAGAAACTAGAGAGGGTGAAATATATGAAACTTTATAGTTACGCAAACCAAGCCTTACATGTGCAGCTGGCTAAGCTTACTTCCATTTGGTGCCTTTCCCTTTTTAGTGGCTCACAAAGTCACAACTTAAATCTAAATAATTATCTTATTTGTACACTTAAAAATAATCTCTAACTTTTCAAGAAATCCTTCATCAATCCGTGAATGACAAATTTTTTCTTTCTTTTCAACCATTTCAACCTTAGTCCTATAGGAGCAAGTCAACTTAACAGTATAGCCTGCGGGTGAAATATTAGATATCAAATTAGACATGAGAATGACGATGATGAGGTCATTGAATAAGAAATCATGAACCTTAAACACTTGCCTATAGCTATAGTATCAACTTGACGCGTTGAACAACTATGATCAGAATCCTTTGGACTTAGGGGGACTTTATGGCGGAGTATTCAGAGAGGCGTCGAAAGGTGTCTGAAAAAAGATATCCCGAATGCAGATTGCAAATTACTATAGCCGACTAGACGACTATCATTATATTTTTGTTGGTATATACCAAGATAAAGGAGAAAAGGAAAATTATATACATTACGTCACAAAAAAAAAAAAAAAGCAAGCTTAAACTCTATTCTCACTATTCGATTTCTTTTCAATTTCAAAAAAAATAGAGAACCTTTCGATTCTCTTTTTTAATGGTCAAGGTCTATAGATGTCAACAGGTACAAAACCTACCATTTAAAAGAAAATTGAAGAAACCTGCCAATCCTTATCATGGGCAAGAACCTAAGCCTCTCGGTTACGAGTAAATATTGGATGTAATGATAATACTATACAATCATCAACACTTAGTGTCACCCTCCAATAAAAAACTTTCAACTGAGCAAGGTGAATCCCACTTAATAATTGTTTTCTAACTTTGGGTGATTACTAATTAACATGGAGAAGTGGGTGCTAAAATATGTGAGATTTGTTTTCTTACTTGTTATATTTTTATTAGATAGTGAACACTACATGTCAAGACGATGTGGTCTCATCGTTACGAGTAAATATTTGATGTAACGATGGCAATACGTCATCATTGTTACTTGGTGTCACCAATCAATTATAAACATTAAATAGGATTGATGAACCCCACTATTCTAATATGACAAAAGTAGTTATTAGTAGTTAGTAAAATAATGAAACCCACTAAATCTACTTAGTCTTTTATCACTAGTTAGTGACACCACATCATTGACCATGTGGTGTTACCGTTGGTAAATATTGAATGCAGTAGTGATATCTTGTCAACAATATTGCCGTGGTATCATCAACTAATAATAAAACACCAAGTGGGTAAAATGAACCCCACTTGGATAGTTATTTGTTTATATGAAGGAAGAATAAATAGTTATTTATTTATATTGAGAGTTTGTTATTAATTTTACTAGGACTCATATGTTTATTTGTTTTGATATTAATGGTTGATGATACCACGTCAACATTGTCACGTAATGTCATTGTTGTAATGAATATTTTAGAGAGAGAGATTCCTTGACATTTGGATTTATCTCTCGTCTGTGTTTATCAATCCTAATTTGAAAAATAACTAGTTGATGGACTAAACCTTTCAGAACTCTTTCACTCTCACATATATACAAGTCCACAACTACACAATCCCTATACTAAAGGGGCCTCAAAATTTCTCCATTGATTACTGCATGAGAGTGGTTTCAAATGTGTTGAAGTGTTGGAAATGGCTGAGCATTTTCTGGAGACAAATCTCTGCCTCCAACTCCTCCATCTCCACCGATACCCGAGCTCTGCGATGATGTACTCTTTGATATTCTTCTCCGTCTCCCACCCTACATGCTCTCACGATTCAGTTGTGTAAACAAATATGCACTTCGCATTGTCAATAACCCGAAATTCCTCCGAAACTACAGGTCACAGATGCCTGAGCAACCACCCCTTTTGGCTGGCCTGTTTTACCAATTGGAGCAGTGCAACCAAATTGGTTTTGCCAGGGTGAAATCTATTGATACAAATGGGAACAATAGAGGTTCACAATGTATCAATGAAATGGTCGGTTTTCTTCCCCACCAAGTCCATATTCTTGCTTTTCAACACGGCCTAATGCTATGTAGTTCCATGAAGCTTGACAAAGGATTCTATTTTAACATCAATCAAATCACTGTTCACGACCCAGGATTAAGAGAGAAGCAGCATTTTTGAACCACATTGATAGAGGCACAAGTAAAAAATACTATGTCTGCAATCCACTCACCAAGCGATGGGCAATCCTCCCAGAAAGCAAACTGCAGGGTGGTTTTTTGATCGGGTTTTTCGTGGACCACAAATACGGCAATTACAAAGGCATAAGGATACCAGAGTTCGTAATCAAAAATACCAATATGTTTGCCGAGACTTTTTCTTCAGAAACAGGCAAGTAGAGATTATTGAAACTCAAAATATTGTTCCCTAACCAACTCTTTTCTACTGTTAGGGCTGCGGTTCAGTTGCACAGATCGTTGCATTCGGTGACTGCGCTTGGTTCGATTCTCGTAAATGATGTTAGGGAAGAGAATTTCAGGTTTCTGGAGCTGCCGAATGTGCATATAAAGAACAGAGGTCAGAACAAAAGCAATCTTATAAAAAATGGTGTCTTAGGCGTGCCGGGTGGGTTGCTGTCGTATGCTTATACTGATGCACATTGCCTGCATGTTTGGATAAGGGTGAGCAATCAGTGGATACTTGCACGGAAGATCACTTCATGGTACCTTATGATTAACACTGCAATTGCTTATAGGAGTTTGGAGTGTTTCAGAGTTCATATTGGACCAAATGAGCATTCCTTGCTCTTTAAACCCGCAGGTTTTGACAAATTTGATCCAAGGTTGGTATTTTTCAAGCTGCCTGGATGCATAATTTCGTATAACTTTCAGGATGGGAAGATTGAAACCCTTCAATATCACTCACCGGAACAGAAGGCTGAGGCTGTCTTACCTTGCGTTCTTCCACAATTGCCTTTTACTGTGTGGAGTTTCAGGGCATGAATACATAAAAATCAAATTAAATGGTTCTCTCTTGCCTTGTTAAATTAGGAGTTTGTTAGTTCAACTAGTTTGTTATCCTCATTCGATAACCGCAAATATTTTGATCAAGTTAGCTGCATTTTGTACCAAGATTTAAAATGCTCATCGTTAATAGCACAGGGAAACCGATCATAATATGTAGGAAATTAAACCAAACACATCTTTCATTGGCTTTAGTATCAGAAAACGGATGGATCTACCTTAGTCCTAGTGTCCCCCCCCCCTCCCCCTCCCTCCCCCTCCCCCAACTTTTGAATAATTATACATATAGGTATATGGTAGAAGGTCAATACACAAGTAAATTGATACATTATCCCCCCCCCAAAAAAAAAAAAAAAAATTTCAAAAAACTTGTACAACGGATTGATTTTACATTAATTAGTGGCCCACTATGCCCTAAACCAGTAAAATAATTTTTTTCTGATTGAGTACAACGGGAGTGCATATATTGATCAATAGACAATGATTACATTTGACACATTGTCCCTATTTTCTAAAAAATGTTGCATAATGCCTTCATTTTTTCTTTTTTTGGGTAATTTAGCGGGTATATAATCCGGTAACACAATTAGATGCAAATGGTATAATGTCCTAGCTCAAAATTATTTTTTTTTTCTTTTCCAAGTAACCAATTCTTCAATAAGACGAAACTAATCTTCGTAATAATATGAAGAACTAATCAAGTATATATAATTATGGAATTTGAAAGAGTATAGTATTCTACTTTAATATGATTGAGTTGAATTATACAAAATAAAAATTATTTTATACTTTTTGTCTATCTTTATTAAGGTTAAATGTTCTTGATTTTATTTTTCATTTAGTAACTTCATCTTAAATTTTTGTAAATTTCTCATGCTTGAAATTCAAAAATGTTATGTTAATATTTTGCCCCCTCTCATAAGGATTTCTGGCTCCACCCCTGATTAGAAATGCTTTAAGTGTCTCGGGCAACATGGGTTTAGAGCTATTATCTTATTAGAAGCATGAATGTTTCCTTTGATCTTTTTTGATTTTTTGACTATTCACGTTTTGGCCTGTGACCAATTGCTATATAATTTTGTGAGTGTCAACATAATATGCTTCCCACAAGTCAGGCAAGAAAATTAACTTTGAAGGGCTGAAGAATATTCTATTAGAAGCCAAAAAAAAATAACATTATTTCAGTGAAAATCACATTAAGAAGGTGTGCCCAATGGCTGTCATGTGAGGAAAGTACACCAAATTATAAAAGATACTTCAAAATAACTGGTTTCGAGTAGTACCTGAAATACAACACATTTTCAACAGCTAATTAACTGCTGGAGTAAGCGAAACACAAGATCTTTTTGACTCTGAGATAAGAGCTCAAGCAAGATCTTCATTGCATAGACTGAAAGCGTTTCATGATTATGAGACTCATATCCATATAGCGCTGAGCACAGTAGGAGAGGCAAGCTGATTCACTGGAGCTGAACTTGTTTCCCGGAGTACTAGTGATGCATTTGTCCCAACATGCGCTTGTAAGCTTTGCAACCATTTCATTAACCATAGCCTTTTGCTTTTCTTGCTGCATTGACGATTCATTAAATTCAGAATCACGCAGTGGAAAGAAGCCCTAAGTTGCCCAACAAAACTTGAACACAAAGAGTCAACAAATCATAGTTCACCCCATAACACATAAGCTTAATTTCTGAGCTTTATGAACACAAAATGGTGAGATTGAGTAAGGCTCATCAATACTTATTCCCCTGTGGAATCTTACAAATACTAACATTGCTCCATCCGATAAGAAACTTTACGTCTGGTGACAATTATAAAGCAACCACAATGGTACTCAATCTCCTCATCTAACCAGATGTCACATCTACAGTGTGATATCCAACCAAGTAATCTATAAGGTGCAAACATTCATATTGTACAATGTTTTAATCATCAAACTATTTGAGAAATAAGTGCCAAATGAAAGAGCACGCATTTCACCCTAATAAGAGAAGCATCGAAAAAGCTTTAGAAAACAGGTAAACATGTCTCAATCTCATCAAAAAAAAGGTGAAGCCACTAAAAAGAAATCATAATTCAAATCACCTCGGCTCTCTAACTGTACCTTATTAGTTGATGGATGGAAAGTTAACCAAAAAACTGATCCCTTGTAAGTTACCATGTCTTCCCCCAACTTTTCCCTTTTTTCCCCTTACAAAAATTTCTTTTTTCCATGTTTATGTCATCCATCTATATATAACATTCCTACTGTATGAGTGCTCAACTTATACTTCCATGACAAATTTCTATAATCTGTCCAACTGGCTGTTCTCTCTATAATTTGTCACTTTTTGAAAAGCAGACCAACATCAAGCTCAATTTCCTTTTGAATAGAAAAGAATTGCAAAATTGGAACATTTCAAGAACCAATTAATAGACAACCCACATATGTGTACCATTAAGGGGAGATAGCTACTAGGAAAGGTTTTCAACACGGAACTGTCCTGTGTTCCTTATTTTTCAAACACCAAAATAAGGCTGAACATGATATTCCCTAATACAATCCCCAAGGCATAAGAAATAATCCGACTCTACAATTGGCAACAGAGAGAGAGAGAAATAGCCAAAACAAGTCACATAATCACAATTTCTTTACAGTTACTTACCTGTATGCAAGGGTGGTGTGGTTGGAAAGGAATGCGTACATTTTTTAAGAAATAAAGAATCCTCAGGAAAACTTATGGGATAAAATCATTTTCAAGGTTTCCCTTTTGGCTTCCACTGCTAAGGATCATTTTCATCAAGTATCTTTGGCATCTGGCGTCAAGTATGTGCTGATTGTTGAGGCTTGAACATCTTAATGTGTGTTCTGTGTTAAGCTTATAGCTTTTTGCATCGAGTAATGCTAGGGATCCTCAAATTTGGGATCCCAAATTGTATCCCAAATCAGCAGGGATCCTTGGATCAGTGGGTCCCCATTTTGAGGATTCCTTGTCCTCCCATGTACTTTTTTCACATTTAGCTTAAACAACTTGTCATTTTTCCTATTGAAGAAAAAGTTTCTTCCAATATGCATCCTCTCTCTCTCTCTCTCTCTCTCTCTCACACACACACACACGCACAAAGTATTGGTAACTCATTAAGAATCTTTTTTGGGACAAGAAATGGCACACTCATATCCGATATTCAAAGCCAAACAGTATAGCATCAATTCGAACATTATACACTTCAGAATTTGGAAACACTAGTACACATGGGGATCAATAGAGACAGAGTGAGTGAATATAATTTATACAAAAAATAGAGAAAACTTACATTGATAAATTGCTCTAATTCCGCTGAGTTTAGAGCAGAAGGATCCATGTGAGATGATTGAGTAGAACTACTACTACTGATTTGGGGTCACTGAGAGCTTTGTAGTCTTCAACTCTCAGCTAAAACCCTAGCAAAGCCGTGGACGAGGAAGAACAAAATAGCAATGGCCAACCGTCACAAGGCCCACTACAATATGAACTTTCCCAGCGAGCCCATTAGCCCAATATAGGACCATAGTTAGGGCTGTTAAATGATGGGAAATTTGGGGCCTGAATTTGTTTGGACTTCATTTCGCAAAGAAAATTTGTTTGTTATAAAATTCATTAAACATAAAAATATAGTAACATTAAATATTAATATTTTAAAAAATTAATAATAATAACATGTTCAACAAAAATAGTAACACAATCAGTAAAACTAACATGAAACATTCAAGCCCCAAAAATAATAATATTTTAAAAAAATACACATATAGATAATTTGAAACAAATACACATATAGATAGATAATATGAAACAACAATTTGAGCTTTGAGAAACAGAAAAAGAATGGACAAATGATCTTTTTTGAAACCTTAACCATATATTACGGAGGTGAGTAAAAAAAGTCTTTTTTTGTTAAGCTATAAACCAGTTACCCGATGGATTCAGCATCACTTGCAACCACGACAACATCGCCGAGAGAGAGAGAGAGAGAGAGAGAGAGTTTTGAATTTGAATTTTAAATTTATGATGGAAATTTTATTGGCATATTTTAATTGACATTGAATTAAGGGATAACGATTTTCAAGATAGAAAATTAATTTAACCTCTTTTCAAGGAAGGATATTTTGGAGTTTAAAAAAAATAGGGGATTTAATTACTTATTAATAAAATTAAAAACGGACTTATCCTCAAATAAGTTTTTTTGACGGACTAAACTCATTATAAGTCACTTGAGAAGGACTCAGCCCCAATTTTCACTTAAATGATTAGGGCGGCTCGCAAGTAGCCCAAACTTGACACAATTTTAGTTCGGTTTGGGCTCGTTCATATTATAAAATGAGTCAAATCTGAACAAATTTTTAAATTCATTTAGTATTCGAACCAAGTCGAACCCAAGCTATTCGCGAGTCGGATCGTTTTTTCTATTTGTATATATCTTAATGTTAATTAAGTCAAATTAGCAAAAATTTAAGTTTGTATGTTTTTCTAGTGATTTAGATTTATTTTATGCTCAAATTTGTGTTAAATTTTAGATTTTTGTGCATTTTTTTATAAATTTTTTTGATTGGGGTTTTTGAAATTTGTAGATTTGAATTTTTATTTTTTATTTTTAGTTAGAATATGAAGAGATTGAATTTTTGTTGAGTGAATTGTCTTTTGTTCGAATTTAATTTGAGTCGAGCTTGAACAATATTTTTTGAGTTCGATAGACGAGCTCAATCCTAGCTTAAGTTGAACAATCTTTTTGCTAGCTTGGAGTCAAAACTTGCAAAACCGCATGAAGAGATTCAATCTTAAAAAGTTCGATTCAATTAATATCCTAACCATAGTGCCCTAGTTCGACCACAAGTGCACCTCTCCGTGGCTAGGGTAAGAGTACGATACCCACAAGAAAAAAATGGGTTTAATAAAAAATAGATTTCAATAGTAACTCATGTGTCAATTTATTTGTTTTTGTTGATCTTAAAAATAATAAAATAA